TAGAAAAGAGATGCGTCACGATGGAAAAGAGAAACAATGCGTCGGAAAAAAATTTTCTTCAAAATTTTTGCGTCTTTTTGCTTTCTATGAGCGCTATACTGTGTCATCATGATCGGAAGTTCGCCTAATCATGACCAAATAAATGAGAAAAGAAAACAAAAAGAATCAATTCATTGATTTAATATCATCAGTTTTTCCTGAGGTTCTAGTCTTTCCTGAAGCTCTACCTTTTCGAGGTAAGCAGTTTCCACGTTACTGATTGGAATAATCCTCATTTTCCGGATAATTTTGGATTGGATTTGATAATTTTGCATTTCATTGAACGCCGCGAAGTAATAGGTGTGCGAATCCGATGCGGATTCCTGGTCAGAAGGGACACAATGGTTTGGATTTGCAGCCAATTTCCTCGGCAATACACAAGAAGTTTCCCTTTCTACCAAAGTCTGCGAAAATCTGTGGCCAGTGCCGGTAGATGGCCCCGAATTATGTGATTCCACTCGTCTCAATGGTGAATCTTCATGATACACATCTTCGATGTTCGGACACCCCACCCGAGCTATCAAAGCCCCAAGCCGAAACACTCGAATCAAGCCCAGATGTGAGGATCTCTGAGATCAGGTCGGTCATTCCATCTCGACAATTCCGGCATTTCAATCCACGAACAAGGGGACAATGTATCTGAATTCTCCAGTTCCCCCATGCATTCTGATACGCAAGATGACTAAAGTGACGCTGATCCTTCTTTATCAAAGCGCTATCGATCTTCGAGAGAAATAGAATTAGAAAAAATGCTGGATGGTTTGAAGAAAAAATTCAATGATCTGGAAAAATACGGTGAGCGCTTGCAAATCTTGACGGTTCTTCCACAGTCGTGGAGCGAGCGGAAAATCGCTTCTGAATTTGGCATTACGAGATACATGGCGTCAAGAGTGAAAAAATTGAGAGAAATCAAAGGAGTATTTGCCTCACCAATTGCGAAAGCAGGCCATTCACTTCCAAAAAAAACGGTCGAGAAAGTACACAAGTTTTATCTAGAGAATAGTCGCGTTATGCCAGGGATGAAAGATAAAGTATCCGTCAAAATCAATGGAGAGAAGAAAGTAGAGCAAAGGCAAATGATACTCGAAAATCTGAAACACCTTCATAGGAAGTACAAAAATACTCATCCAGAGGCTTTGGTTGGTTTCAGTAAGTTCGCTAAGCTGAGACCAAATAATGTGTACTGGTGTTTGCAGGTATCATCAAAATTGCAAATTAATGCTCGAAGCCATCAACATTGCCACTCTAACTAAAGATTCCCCCTGCCCACTCAAGGATTACAAAGATTGTCTAGCACAACTGATGTGTATAAATCCAACCCCGGCCTGTTATCTGGATGAATGTAACGACTGTGAACCGGACTCATGTGAATTGAAGAAGCTCCTTTCTGATTCTGTTGTCGAAACTGTCCAATTTCGCGTGTGGCAAACTACTGACAGGTGTACCTTGCAGACACAAACGCTTGCGATCGATGACTTCGTCGATCTTCTTGTCGAACGATTAAAAGTATTAAAACCCCATCACTTCATCGCTAAAGAACAATCAGCTTTTGTTAAAGATCGAAAAGAGAATTTGAATAACGGCGAAGTACTAGTGCACTGTTATTTCTCAGAAAATTATGCCATTGTGGCTCAAGATGGTGCTCAATCCTTCCACTACAATAATGACCAATGTACAGTCCATCCCGTTGTTTACTACTATCGCGAAGGAAACGAAATCCAGCATCGGAGTTTAGTTGTTTTATCAGATAGTACTACTCACGATAGCGCAGCTGTTTACTTGGTACAGAAAATTCTAATACAACATGTAAAGAATAACTTTAAAGATGTCGAGAGAATCATCTATGTCACCGATGGAGCTGCACAGCATTACAAGAATCGTTACCAAATGACTAATCTTCTGCATGACAAGACTGATTTTGGAATAGATGCAGAGGCCCATTTCCATGCAATCGCAGACGGTAAAGGAGCTTGTGACGGTGTGGGTTCTGTTTTCAAAAGAGAAGCGAGACGTAGAAGCTTGCAAATCGTCCATGGTGAACCCATCCTGACGACAGATGCTTTGTTTCGATGGTCAAAAGAGAATTTCAAAGGAATTGATGTTTTTTTTCACCGAGGACAAACATGAGAATATAAAAACTGAATTGAGGGAAATATTTGATAGTGCCAAAGCTATTCCAGCCATTCAAAAACACCATTGTTTCATTCCAAAACCGGGAGAGCAATTGTTAATGAAACGATATTCGGCTGCGGAAAACCAAGAAGTTTTTCCGAAACGAAAACAAACAACAACAACAAAACGGAAAGCACTTAGAAAACAGTAATCGTGATCAATAGATGTACAGTAAATCAGTGCAATTGGGCAAGTGGTAGTTGGAGACGGTAAATAATAGCCTCTTATTGTAAAAATGTAAAACGGTCGTTACCCTAAAATAAAACTTGTTTTTCCATGTGTCGCATTTCTTTGGATGAGTACTTTGTCTTTCGAAAGAGGTTTATAATGTTGTTGATAGTCCCTCCCATCTAGCAGAAGGGAAAACTGTCGATTGAAAGGTGAAAGAAGCAAAAAAAAGATTGGATAGAAGAAGAAAAAGAGAAATGAAGAAAAAATAAGGAAATTGCGAAGAAATCACATTTTTCTGGTGTACTGCTTGTCTCTTCCATGNACTAATCTTCTGCATGACAAGACTGATTTTGGAATAGATGCAGAGGCCCATTTCCATGCAATCGCAGACGGTAAAGGAGCTTGTGACGGTGTGGGTTCTGTTTTCAAAAGAGAAGCGAGACGTAGAAGCTTGCAAATCGTCCATGGTGAACCCATCCTGACGACAGATGCTTTGTTTCGATGGTCAAAAGAGAATTTCAAAGGAATTGATGTTTTTTTTCACCGAGGACAAACATGAGAATATAAAAACTGAATTGAGGGAAATATTTGATAGTGCCAAAGCTATTCCAGCCATTCAAAAACACCATTGTTTCATTCCAAAACCGGGAGAGCAATTGTTAATGAAACGATATTCGGCTGCGGAAAACCAAGAAGTTTTTCCGAAACGAAAACAAACAACAACAACAAAACGGAAAGCACTTAGAAAACAGTAATCGTGATCAATAGATGTACAGTAAATCAGTGCAATTGGGCAAGTGGTAGTTGGAGACGGTAAATAATAGCCTCTTATTGTAAAAATGTAAAACGGTCGTTACCCTAAAATAAAACTTGTTTTTCCATGTGTCGCATTTCTTTGGATGAGTACTTTGTCTTTCGAAAGAGGTTTATAATGTTGTTGATAGTCCCTCCCATCTAGCAGAAGGGAAAACTGTCGATTGAAAGGTGAAAGAAGCAAAAAAAAGATTGGATAGAAGAAGAAAAAGAGAAATGAAGAAAAAATAAGGAAATTGCGAAGAAATCACATTTTTCTGGTGTACTGCTTGTCTCTTCCATGATGGCTTTCCTTTTCATCGTTATGAGCAAAAAATATTGATTGACACGTTTGTTTCTTTGGATAGCTCTCATAGATAGCTCTCATAGATCTCTTTTCTAACTCATATTCATCAAAGGCATGGATTAAAATATCAATTTCTTAATAAAGACGAGGCAGCTACCCTAGAAAGCGGAAAAACACGAAAATTTCGGAAAAAAAAATTTTCTCCGGTGCACGGGTTATCTCTCCTATATTGGCATATTTTTTTTACTTCATATGCGAACATCCTCTATCAAAAAAAAAATATTGCAGTCGAATCCCGGACGGCCCTGGAGCCGAAAAAAAATAAAAACCTAAAAATTCATTGAAAAATAGGTGTAGAAGCTTCTTTACACCTATGGAGTATTTTTTTTCTGAAAGTATGAACGAAAACAAAAATTTTCTTTTTTTATTTATTCAAATCAGATGCGCCATTCAAAAGTTACGAATTTTTGAAAATTTAAAGTTTGGTAGTCATTATTTCAGAAACAAAAAATCATGAGGCAATGAAATTTGGCAGGAATACTGTCTATATATAGTAGTTCGAAATGCGGCAGTCAAATCATTTTGTCTAGACAAAAAAAAATCTGGGGTGACTGAGTTGACATGGAATGTCCCAGATTTAATTTACTTTTGACTTAAATTCTCAATATAAAAATTTCTCCGAATTTATTATCGAAGTGGATTTTCTCCCACGATGCTATCTCATCCTGGAGATGATTCCCCAGATTCGTCCAGGATTTCCCTTGACTCCGGCATTTTCTGTCCTTATCGGAAGTCGGAATTCCCCGCTCCAGGTTGGCTCCTCTCCACGGTCAGCGAATCAGGTCCGTCCCTAGGTGGTCAGCGGGTTCCAGTTGGCCCCAAGAGCCATCCTCTTCATCTCCTCTAAATCCTCTCCTCAACGATTCCTCTCCTCGAACATAATTTCCAAATAATTAATAATAATTCCCATTCGTTGGAATTTTCCCAACGGTTCCCTCGGTTTCTATCGAAAGGAAGGGAGCTTGAGCTCCCCCCGAGACTCAGAATTTAATTAATTAATTATTTTAATTTAAAATAAAAATAATTAGAACCTGTGGCAACCAGATTGTCACAAACTTCTTCATTTTAAGTTATTCTTCACGTTTTAATTATTTCACATCATCCTGTGCTGCTTAATGGTTATTAACCCGCGCGCAGTAGGGTAGAGCTACTTAATGCACGATAGGATTTAAAATAGCAAGTATCATTCGTGCGTACACTTCGTTCTTGGCGAATGTGATTGCAAACATCGCTTTTATTTCGGTCTGTAGACTCCAGATTCGTTAAAATGAAATAGACGTACTTGTATCGTTGAATACTATTGAATAATGTTCAAAAGTTTCGGCCGTAAATTGTGGTCAAGATAAACAAGGATTTATTGCGAAGGTCGAAAAATGCACAACACTGTTGTCACTTTATGAGCACTATGGGTGTCGTGATTGGTCCGGCACCGAAGCTACCAATGGGTTATGCATAATTATTCAATTGAGATTCATAACTCTGACACTGTAGAACTGCGTATTCATCGTGCGTGGTCCATTCATATTTTAGGCTCCATCACAATATCGAAAAGATAAAGAAAATACAACAGCATAATACGATTGTGTTTGCATTTCAAAATCGTAGAATAGTGTGATACAATTGTTGCTGTTTCGAACGGTACATGTATGGAAAGGAGAGTTTTGGAAGTGGATTTTTCAATTGTTATTTATTCTTCTCTTCTATAAGTTCATAATAATGAGACAGATCAGATTCTTGGTACTCTCTTCATTAATCATAATGGGGATATTATGTCCCACATTGGATGGTGCCAAAAGCGGTGGAGGTGGTAGAAGTCGAGGTGCTCGTGGAAGAGGTCGAATTTATACTGGAAGAATCCCGATTTTTATACCAAATCGTAATCCAGCAAGTATGGGATATTATGAAAATAAAGATGTAAGTTTCTATGGAATATGTATGTCAATATTCTAAATGCTCACTTTATGTGATGAAAAGTAATGCATGGGCAGAAAAATGTTAGCTCCAAAAACAAATCAAGAACGGAGTGCATGAGTCTTATAATTATTTCTAAGCATTATGGGATAATTCATGCTATTAATTCGACAAAATAAATATAGGAATGCAATAATGATAATTAAGATATTCTCAACAGATATAAAATCATCTATTGATTTTAATTACTGTTCAACTGATAAGAAAAAATGTTCCATGTTAAAGGGAGCCAGGATTGTTAAAGCTTCGCACTTTGAGTTGGATTATATGCTAGGAAGGAAAATAACTTTCTTCTGCATGGCTCAAGGATTCCCTAGACCAGAAGTCACGTGGTTCAAGGACGGCATCGAACTCTACCACCATAAATTTTTTCAGGTAGTTTTTACACAATGTTAAATTTATGTAATTATCATTAATATAATATTAGTTACAATGGCGATAGGTTCATGAATGGCCGATTGGGAATGATACAATGAAATCGAAAATGGAGATTGATCCCGCCACTCAAAAAGATGCAGGCTATTACGAATGCCAGGCGGATAATCAATATGCAGTCGATCGTCGAGGTTTCAGAACTGATTATGTTATGATCTCTTATTAATTTTCTCGGATTGTTCTCCTTATGTCCGGAATTTTATGGTTAGATTATGATAAAAATATAATATATTCTCTCAATTAATGGTTCATTTCTTTTTCTCAATGAAAGGATGTTGATATGTGAGAATTGAAGAACAACCAAAGAGCGTGGAAAGATTTTTAATCCAAACGATTATTCCCCGGATATTTGAGGATGCATGCTCGTTTTTGGGGAAGAATATTTAATTGAACAATTGCATACACTCTTCCAAACATATGAAATCATTTATTTATATACACAGACAGAATTTACTTGTCATTAGAAATGATCATGGGTGAAAGAATTTAATAGAAAAACCTAGCGAATTCGCTAGAGAATTCTATTGGGCTTCTATTGAACTTTCTATTAGTTTTTAGCCGATTCTATTAAAATATTCAATAGAAAATATTCTATAGAAAAAGTAAAAAGTATCCGATTTTTCTATACAACTTATTCTATTGAGATATTTTTAATAGATTATCCTCGGCTCAAATTTTCTAAGCTTTTCGGTTTGATGTTCTTGATAAAAAGAAAGGAAACATAGAATGAAGAAAACTGGGGAAATTTGAGCTGAAGAAATTCTATAGGGAATTTCAGAAGAGAGTAAGTTATACGGAAAAATCGAATTCTATTGATTTCTTCTACTGAATACTTTCTGTTGAACATTTCAATAGAATCGGCCAGCAACTAATAGTATGTTCAATAGAAATCCAATAGAATTTTCTAACGAATTCACTAGGTTTTTCTCTTAAATATTTTTGGGTGTGATTTCTTCTTTCCTTTTCTATCTCACAAGGAACACTAGGGAGGTGTTCCCCTCCGATTGCGATGAAACTCACATATGTTGTAGAGGACTCAAAACTAAGCGACACGTATTTTTTTTATCGGCGGATACGCAGTTTTAAGGGGGGAAACCATGGTCAGATGGTGACCACTTTTGGGGGTGATTTTTCAATTCCACCTATAAGAAGGGAATTTTCGTAAATGTTCATTATGGGAATAAATAGCTCGTGAGAAATTATGAAAATCACAATTGATAGTTCCTCCGGCGGTTGAAATTTGGAGGGTAAACTACCCCTGTAAAGACTTCATTTTTCAAAAAAAAAAAACTATGATTCAGAATTTTATGAAACCAACTGCGTTGGATGGAACATGGAAAAATGCGGAATGCCTGTTTTTGGTTTTTCCCCAGAACTGGAGTTTTCTAGGGTGAAAAAAATAATTTCCTGGCAACATCATTCACGAAGGTGGTGGGGCTATTTATTCATTCCATTGAGGCAATGTATAGCTTATGAGAAATCGTAAGAATATCCAATAATAGTTCCTCTCGGGGTTGAAGTTGACGGGGTAATTATCCCCGCGAAATAATATTTTTTTATCAAACAACTATTGGCTTTCACGGAAATGATTGCATTGGAAGAGATATGAAATAATACAGTATGCCTTTTTATGAAAGAATAAAATTGGATTCCAGATATCCCAAGCCTCAATTTTGGTTTCAATAATCCGCACGTGAAAATGATATTTTTCCAAAATTCGGCGATAAACGAATAACGATAAAAATAGATCAAAGAAAAGACTCTCTGGAACAAAATGTCCTTTTTCTTTAGGTACAGCAACAGGGTGGTTATATTTGAAGAAAAAGCAGTGACGAGTACGAAAAAAAATTTGCTAAATAATCGGAATTTTTTCATATCGTTCAACGAATGATTGACAAGTTCAAACAAGTTTTTTTTCATATGTCGGAGGAACCGGGGTAATGATTCTAAGAGACTTCATTATTATAGTATATATGTGATGATAACACACTGCTGAAAGCGATAATAAATCCAAACAAAATGCAAATAGCCGTGCATGCGTCACCTATATCCAAAAATAGGTAATCCATCATGCAGTAATCATGTATTATTGATAACCCTGAATATTATTCACTTCCATTTTGCGCAGCGTTTAGTTTACGTAAACACATCACGGCAAAACTGTCTCTTGTTAATCGTATATTCCGAATTCTTCCCATCATGAGAGTCAATCCGATCAACGTTATTAAGATCCTCATGGCAACATTTGAAGTGCTGAATCTTGGCGAAACCCCTGTGAGTAATGAAGAATGAGAATTGGCAACTCATTTCGAGAATATATTGCAACGCACTATGGAGGAATATAATGGGGTGGAAATTATTGAAGAATCAACTCTGGATTTCCAAGAGCCATACAAAGACATCGAAATGATACCAATTGAGGATAAAGAATTCCAACCACATCATAAAGAATCATCTGATAGTTGTTCAGAGGATGACGAACTTGTAGATTATGACTATAAAAAAAGAGCAGTCGAATACTGAAGGAGTGCAAAAACAAAGAAAAATCTATCTATAAAAACTGTTTCCAATAAATTCAAAAGAGTGAAATCGGTCCAGCAATTACGTCGTTGGGCACATCAAGTCAATAAAGGAGGAACTATGGAAAAGTTGAAACGAATATCAGAGTACACGTTGAAAAATATGAAAAATGCTATCGATGCGGGGCTAATTGTTCATGATGCCGACCTACGAAGATGGGCTCTGCAAGCTCAACGAGATATTGGATATCAAGATATTCGTTTCAAGGCCTCGGCATGGTGGCTACATTACTTCAAAAGGGCTCATTGCATTACATCTCGCAAGATTACTAAATTCATCACACGTGAAACAATGGAAAATCAAAAAGATTTACAAAAAACAGCGGACGAATTCCTGCAACAGATCAAACCATATTTTGAGATTTATGGCTTGCAAAACATCTATAATTCTGATCAGAGTGGTTTCCAATTGGAAACGCATTCGGGGCGAACTTTGGTGGAAGAGGGGTCTAAAGAAGTCTCATGCATTGTACAATCTGTAACATTAACGACACACAGTTATAACATACAAACCACCATATCAGCAGATGGAAAATTATTGTCACCTCTCTTCATTGTTTACAAGGAACCTTACGGAACGTTTGGTCCAAGGATTCAGGAGAATCTATTCAGACCTTCTAATGTTTACATAACGGCTTCAAAGTCAGGGAAATTGATGTCTGGTAAGACGATATTTCAAACTTAAGATGTAACAAACTTATTTGTACTGATTGTAATGTTCATCCCATTGCAACTATTCCAGACCACTTTAAAATTTGGCTGGAAGGAGTATTCTTTCCAAACGTGGGACCAAAAAGTCTACTGTTGATCGATTCATGGAGTGGACATTGCTCTCAAGTGATAGAACAGGCAACTCCTCGGAATAAAGAATTATTAACTATGTTAATCCCCAAAGGAACTACCGGAAAAATTCAACCTCTTGATGTGTACGGCTTCAGGATTTGGAAAAATTACGTCCGTCATTTTTCAGATACGGTTGTTCTCTTAAATCATGATATTAATTTGCATGCGCGGAATAATGTGATCAAATTGCAATCTTTAGTCCATAATCAATTATCATCACCGAGGTATCAAAACCTATTTCGTTACGCTTGGTTCCAGAGTGGCTACATCGCTAAAAAACCAGAGGAATTTGATAATCCTGTCGATTTTGCGTTTGGACAATCTTCTAATCCAAAATGTGAAGTTGATGGTTGTTCTAATGTTGCGGTAGTTAGATGCTCGTGGTGCAGAAAGTCTCTCTGCATGCACCATTTTTTTGATGAATATCATTTCTGTACTAATTATGTTCCCTAATAAACTATACAGGGTATTTCAGAAGTACATGTACATCTGAACACCCTAGGATCAGGGGGTGATTCTGAGCAGAAAAGTCCTCTTGCATTTTTTGATCAGACTCACCCCTAAAAAGTTATTGGCAATTAAGGGTGGGCCAATGGGGAGTGATTTTTAAGCGGGCGCACATCCATGTGATATGCAGCATATGTGTGTGTGCCCGCCCCACCATTTTACGAGACAAAAGAGCGCAACGATATTGCTCTCTCTCTCTCTCTCTCTCTCTCTCTCTCTGTTCGCTGGAATGACGAAGAGGGGAGAATGAATGGAGGACACTGATCTCTATATAACTGGATAGCCGATCCCTATGGCAGCCAGTGAGTTTATTAGAGAGGTACGCAGCGCCTCCGGATAGTAGTCAGCGAACTAAGATTCTCTCTAGTGCGCATGTCCGTGTCAGCTGCAGGTAGTGGGGCAGTGGTAAATTTATCGAGAGCATTGGGAAATATTATAGGATATTTTACCGTGTAGGACATCCAGAATAACAGACGAACTTTTGTTAATAATCAGTGAAAACTGACATTGTCTATAAACGCGAAAGGTAGCCGAAGCATGGAGGAATATCGAAATTAGTACAATTGTTATTAATATTGTATTATTAATGAATTGTATAATCGTTAATAATTGAAAAAATTGAATTTTTAAAAAATACAAAGAAACGCCAAAGAATGTTATTAGATTTTTTTAATCGCAATTTTTTGCTAGATTTAATTGACGTTTTAGGTTTTTCAAAAAATCAATTTTGAAAAATCAGGATTTAACCCACTGTCTTATGTCAAAGTCCATAACTTTGTTGTAGAGCAAGATTGAAATCGTAATTTTTGACTCAAAATATAAAAAAAAATCAAGAAATTTTTTGACACATGATACCATATGAATGACCGTTTTTTAAACAATATCCATTATTTATTTATAAAACGGAGATGTTTGAAAAGAAAATAATATGTTGAAAAATGTAATTTGAATGATGCTGATTGTGTATGAATTTTTTATAAATTTTCTCACGTAATTTAATGAAAAAATTTAATAATTGAAAATCTCGACATCTATAGTGTGGTCAGTATGAACTTGTAGCCTACTGATGTGCTACTTTAAGGAAATTAATGTATTCAGGAAATTGGGAAACTCAAAATAAATATTCAACTGAATTTATTCGTTCGAAATTTTTTTGTATTTATTAAACTATATTACACCTACACTGATCGGAATTTATTGATTGAGTATACTATACTAATTTTACCTTTTTCAATTATTATTTACAATTTGGGACGGAGAATGTTTCCACGGCAATTTTCCGAGCACGTGGCCCCCACTGCGGCGCGCATG